ATAATAAAAATTGAAATAAAATTGAAGCTAAGGTCCCTGATCTTATCAAGGCAAAACTTTTCAATAAAACTGTCACCAAAGCAATATCGCTACATAAGACAGTTTGATTTAATCAAATAAGCGTTTTCCTGACAAAATAGAGACTGCAGGCAGATGATGCTCAGCCAGCTCTTATAATCCATACAAAAGATGCATGAGCAAGGCTTTGCCCATAAGACTCGCAGCTACACTTCAGCCCAACACAGCCCTGAAGCATGACCAGACTCTGTCTCCATTGGTATCCACTTTACCAAGCAGCTTCCATGGGCTGCCCAGTAGGGATCCAGCCCAGAGATCTGCTGAGCACCTTCAGACACAGGAGTACGAAACCTACTGGCTCTTCAGTTACACATGGAGGAGTAAACTGGGAGTCTTCAGCACATGTGTATATCATACTCGAAAATAAAGACGTTGATCCTACTACGGCATCAGGAGCAAAAGAAAAGAGAGCAAGGGTTTTGAATACATGGATAACGCCAAGTTGAATATCCTTGCGACAGAAATCATGACGCACTGCGCAGAGGTGAATTTTCAAAAGTGCTTCAGAGAGAAATTCAAAGAACTGGTGCAGTCAATCACATGTACAAAGCTTACAGATTTTACATCTAAACCACAGAAACAGATCGGAGCAGAAACAGGAAGATCTGAGCACCCCTGGATGCCTGCAGTGCCTAAAACCAGATACAAAATATTTCCCTTTCCTGTCTTGCTCTCTTTAGATTTCAATTCTATCTTCTTGCTAGATCCTCATCTTTCAGATCATGACTTTATATCCAATTTCACTATTCATTACATCTTACTGCTTAGATCCTCATCTTTCAGATTATGACTTTACATCCAATTTCACTATTCATTACATCTTACTGCTCCTTTCCTTTCTGCTGCTTCAGTCGACACTCCCCACTCCACGTCCAGCAGCACCTACAGAGATATCACAAACTTGGCCATTTCACTGGACCTACAGAGATATCACAAACTTGGCCATTTCCTCTTGCTTACTCAAAGCTCCATTGTAGTTGGGGCCTTCACACGCTGCTGGATAAAAATGTTCTTCTCCTACTCAGCACTGAGCCAAGTGTTAAAGATAGAGGGCAAAAGGCTGGTTTTGCCGCTTCACATGGTGGATCTTGACCTTGGCAATCTTTTTTCGTAAGCACAACTCTCACAGACTTTAAAAGGAGATCTGTGCATGTAGGCAGAGAAGAATGTTAGAGTCGAGATCCACCCATGCAGATCTGAAGGTGATTTTCATTAGCTAGGAAGTCAAACACAGAGGCATAAAAAGTTCTGACATGGAGTCATCTTAACTTGGCTGAGAGTTTCTGATGTGACGAGCAAGGTCTATAACCTAGAAGACTGTAAAGTGCTGGAAAACCTAGTTACCAAGAGAGTAATTTCATTCTTTATGTACCATTTCACATTTGAATGCTAAGTAACCACTAGAGGTGAAAAAAAAAACCCAATTCCACATTCAACAAAGGATCTCAGCTGCAGCCACCAGGCACTTCCCAAATACACTCTGAGACTCTCTGTACCCTAAAGGTCTGAAACGTAAGCTGAGCACAGTGCCCTGCAAAGGCTGGGTGTTGACCATGACATTATGGCCATTTTGCCAGTGGTGATGCTGCCTATCACAGAAAAAACACATTAACACTAGGAATTAAGAAACATCCTTGGTAGAGGCATCATGCCTGTACCCCACTCTTCATGCTGTGGAGCACTCATTCCAGCAGGGGACTCCATTGACCAGCACAGCAAGTCACCAACACATAATTAACATGCAACGGTGATTAATCAGCTAACATCTGACCAATAACCGGGACACTCAGCTGCCTTTGCCTGTCTTACCACACAGGAACATTTGCAACTCACACAGACAGCTATTAATTCCAATTGTAGCCCATTTCCCGCAGCAAGCACAGAGCGCAGGCCAAAGGGGGGATTTCAATCTGTTGCACAGCACAGTATGGAGCTACAGCATTTCCATACACTCCAGCATGCACAGCATGCCTGAAATTAGACCCAAATCCTTGCCGTAAACGCTCGAGTGTTACAGAGCACACCCAAATACACAGCCGCCTCCAATTTTTGAAGATTCCTATTACTTCTTTGTCCATTGCACACTCTACTTTGATTTAAAAACTCTGATTTTAGGATGCTGTACATCTATACACTAGAAACAGTGTCGCTAGCGATGACTGACTGACGTACAGCTGCCTGAGGACCCAAATTTTAATTCCATTGCTTCATCACTCCTGTACATCAGCTAATTAGCAGAGGCCTGTTTATTAACACTGCTTTGTGCCAAGTGCTTACGATGGCTACTCCGGGGTCCCTGGTGGAAGCCCTCTGTACATGGACCTCAGGTAACGGTTCCTTCTGATGCAGCAGCACCCTCGCCC